TTATACGGCGAGTATATAACAAACTCTGTATTTTGAGTGGAAATGTTAGGGGGTCGTCTTATACGCCCAGTCGTCTTATACGCCGGCAAATACGGGTAAATGTTGTTGACTTCTCTTCTTTGCCTCCAACAATATCTAAAACACATTGTAGTTATATTATTTGCTAAAAGTAATAATACTAAGTATTACTATTTACTGAGCACTCAGGGTTCTAAGTACTTTACATGTATTATCTCACTTAGTTTTTGAAATAATACCACAGGTAAAGCATTATTATCCCACTTTATATATGGGGAGCTTAAGACTCAGAGACATTAAATAAGTTGACCAAAGTCACCTGGATGCTAAGTGGTAGAGCTAAGTTTCAGACCCAGGTCCTCTGGCCCCAAGGCCACCTTCACTACTACACTCCAGCCCACCATACTGCCTTTCTCCCTGGGCACCTCCATCTTTAGGGAGACAAGGGATGATGTCTTTTTGTCAGACTCCCTTCAGACTCCCTTGGAAATGGAGGGAAGTGGGCCACCAGCAACTATGGAAACACCCTAGGACCAAGGAAGGCCACCAGCAGTCCTGAGCCATGCCTGAGATGAACGGAGCCACGGCTGGCACAGCCATGTATGGAAGCCTCAGAGCTTATAGCTGGGGAGTATTTAACTTGTCCAGACTCCCACATAGCCTTTCATTGACCTCTCAAACTGTGGCCCACAAAGGTGATGCACCCTGCTTGGGAGGCCCCAAGGTTGGTTGGCCTTGGAACCAGTCTGAGGTTTGAATCCTAGCCCTGTCATTTATTCATTGTGTCTGTCTTAGCAAGCAGCTTTATCTCTGGGAGTCATGGTTTCCTTATCAGTATGATATTACCTATCTCATGATTGCTTTGTGATTTATTCACTCAACAAATATTAAGTTGAACCATATGAAATTGCTGATATTTAACCATTTCTTTACTCACAAAAATAGCACGGGCTGGCCGAGTGGCTCAGTTGGTTAAGAGCTCACTCAAGAGTTTGAGTTCTGAGCAACAGCGGTTTGATGCCCGGCCCGAGCTGAGCTGCCACTAAGCTGCCAATAGGTAGCAGGATGGCTCAGCTAAAAAAAAAAAAAAAAAAGCAATTTCACATGATTCAACCCTAATATTTCTTGAGTGCTATATTAGTCAGGGTTTTCCAAAGAACCAGAAAAACAGAACCAATAGATTTTATAGATAAGTAGAACAATAGAGATAGATAGATAGATAGATAGATAGATAATAGATAAATAGGTTGATTTTAAGGAATTGACAACTTCCCCTTATTTTAAGAGGCTGATAATTGAAATATGTAGACAAGCTGGAAATTCAGGTAAGAAATGACATTGCAGTCTTGAGTCTGAATTTTGCAGACCAACAGGTGGGACACTCAAGCAGGATTTCTATGTGACAGTCTCGAAAAGAATTCCTTCTTCTTCAGGAAACCTCAGTCTTTGTTCTTAAGGCCTTCATCAGATTGGATGAGGCCCACCCACACATTCTGGAGGGTTATCTGCTTTACTTAGAGCCAACTGATTATAAATATGAATCATATCTACAAATACCTTGATAGCAATATCTAGACTAGTGTTTGACCAAACAACTGGGTACCATGGCCTAGCAAACTTGACATAAAATTAACATTGCACTAGTACGCACTAGGCACTGTTCTAGGTGCTTAGGGTTTATGAGCAAATAAAACTGACAAAGATGCCTGACCTGTTGGCGTTTACATGCTGAAAACATGTAAGTCAATAACTAGCATAATAAATAAGTAACTGTATATTGAGGGGTGAAAAGCACTGTAAGAGGGAAAATTAGGTTAAGGAGGCATGAAATTTCAGGGGGCTGGGCGGCATGGCTGCAGAGAATGGTTGAGGTGGGCCTCATTGAGAATGTAGCATCTGAACCATAGCCTGAAGGACTGAGGGGTCAGCCATGCCAGAGCTTTTGGGCAGAGGGAACAGCCAGTGGGAGACATTAAGGCAGGAGTGTGCCTGGTGCATTCTGGAGCTAAAAGGAGGATAGCGTAGCTGGAATGGAGGAGGAGAATGAAAGAGGATGAGTTCAGAGAGGTCCTGTGGGACCTTGGAGGCCACGGTCAAGTGAGAAGACAAGGGTTAAATCAGAGACACATGCATGTCAAGTGCCCAGCATAGTGTCTGGCAGAAGGTAGCAGCCCATCCCTCTTGGTGACCTAAATCCTTGGGCAGAGGCCAGTGGACTCTGGGTTAGTATTCTTTCTTCCCAGCCTCTTGGATTCTGACTCCAGTTTTGCCCACTTCATTCCCCAACAGGGAGCCAGTGGACCACAAGGACAGCCTAGAAATCCAACAACAGTTGCTGTATGATGAGAGAAAGCCAGAAATACCCTGGGATGTCGGGGCTGAGGAGGGACTGGCCCGAGACATACAGACCACGGACCCCACTGCCATCCCAGCCCTGGCCCGCTTGCCCAGACCACCCACAGCCCAGGCCAGCCCTGTCCCAGGCTTTGTTCCTGAGTCTCCAAGGCCCCTTTTCCTGATAAACAAAGCCCCCATCCCCCGCCTGCCGCCCAACAGGCACCTGGGACCTCTGGGCCTGGGAATCAAAGCCTGTTTTGCAAAAGAGGCCCTGTGTTTGGAGAAACACCCATCCCCTGCTGCCCAGCCCTTCAAAGAAGCCGCATTGTTCTGCCTTGAGAAGGCGCCTCCTGACTTGAGGGCTGACGCAGGTGGGCCTCTGATCTCAGGCCAGGCCCCCCACCCCTCTAGGGGGGAGGGAGGATACAGGGGCCAAGCCAGGAGAGGTCTGCCCTCATGGCATTGTGCCCCTTTCCTGTCCTCTGCCCACCTAAGCCCCCATCCCTTGTCTCCTAGCTGAAGCCAGGACAGGGTGGCCCAGATCCTTCTACCTGCCCAGACGGCAAAGCAGACCTCGAGGGGCATCAGACCAAGAACTGAGGTAAAGACCGTAGGGGTGTGCCAGGGCAAGGGTGTCAGAGAAACTATGTGAAATATGCCTTTAGTGCAGACTGTAAGACTGAGGCCAGAGAACAGACGGAACTGGACCCGGAGCCCAGCTCAAGCTAAGGGAAGACTGAGGTGTCACTCTACACCCTTGGTAATGACAGGTCCAGACCAAAACACAGACCTTCTGACCTGAAGCCCAGTGCTGCTTTTTTTTTTTAAAGAAGTATTTCATTTATACTCACCACCACCATCACTGCTTTCCTTGCAACTTGGCTTTGGGTAGAGGTAATCTTTACTTTAGATAAATCCTCTTAGAGAATGGAGGCCACAGAACTGGCAGTGGGGCCCAGAGGGGTCCTGATCACTCACTCGGCACCCAGAGGCACTTTGCTGCTCCAGTTTTCCTTCTCCGGCCGTCCTCACACAGCCCAGGGTTAGCGGTGCAGCCTTTTAGCCTCACCTCGACTGTACTGTCTCTCAAGGCACAGAGAGATTAAGTCACCTGCCCAAGGTCAGACAGGAAACCAGGGAGAAGCCACAACTCAGAATCGCATCTCGGGTGCTACTTTCATTCTTTTTTTTTCCTCCAGCTGCACCCATGAAGCTGTGCCACTCCTGATCCCTTGACCCCAGTGTATCCAGTACCAATATTCACTCTGCAGTCTAGGAGAGTGAGTAAGGGCAGAGGCACGGCAATCAAACGTACTTGGGGTCCTGTCGAGGCCCCTTCACTGCGTGACCTTAAGCAAACTACTCACCAGTTCTGAGCCTCAGTTTCTTCCTCTGTCAAACAGGAATGACAGCAAACAGGAATGACGACAGCCGCCAAGTTTACAGGCTATTATGAAGATAAACTAGAGGGAGAAGGGGTATTGTGTGGAAAGTCCTTAGCACACAATAATAAACATTTAATAGGCATTATCATGATAATGATTATTGTTTCTCCTTTCACTATTTGGAGGAGAGGGAAAAGGAGGGGCCAGGGTAAGGTGTGGCACTGCCTATTTATGGGAGCTGCTTCCTGAAGCAAACAGGCAACAAGTCCTTCCTGTCAGCTAAAGAGAGAAGGAAGCGGCAGGCAGGGATGGGGGCGTTAAGGAGAGACCTTTGATCTCCAGCCTGGGATTTGCATTTCACCTACTTGGGTTTCTGGGCACTGAGTGTTATCTTGTGACAGTCAGGATGTTGGTGTCCTGGTCATCTTCGTCAAGCATCTAATAACCATAGAGGTCACTTCCAGCCCCACATTCCTGGAAAATTCCAGAAGACTGTTTGGGGAGACATTATGGCAGAGTAGAAACGCTGGTGCAATCTTGAGCAAGCCACTAAACTTCTGAGACTTGCTTGAGAGACAGGCAAGCACAGCAGTTAAGGGTCCCATGGTGATGTAGCTGTGTGTCTATTCAAAAGACTCAACCTTCCCTCCTGAATGACTCATTGAGAGAGACACAGGAGCTCATGCCACATGTGAAGGGACCAAGAACAAACATCTGTTGAGGATCTGTCACCATGCTAGAGACTTTCATGCCAACCACTCAATGAGTCCTCCCAGCCACCTTGCATCTCCATTTTTGCAGATGAGGGGACGGAGTTTCAGAAAAATAAAGTTGCTTATCCAGAGAGAACCAGCTAGTTAGAGAGTGAGCTTGGGTTTGAACCCAGCTCCTCCTGGCCGAGATACCATCCTCCTCCTACTGTAGGAACCACTGCCTCCCTCTGTCTCCTTCGCCATCATTACCATTCAGGAGCGTCATGTGCTGGGCACCCTGTTAATGGCTTTGTCCTAGGTATTCATGATCTCTTTTAATCATCTCTTAGGTGGAGGCAAGAGGTAGGTGCTGTTTACCGGAGGAGACTGAGGCTCAGAGAGGCTGCTACCCACCTGCCCCAGGTCATGCAGTTCTGGAATGGCGGAGCTGAGATTTGCCATCTGTCCTATTGGGTTCCAGAACCCTGGCTCTTAATGCCGACACCACCCTGCCTTTCCTCTTATCCTCTGGTTAGACCCTGGACAACATGGCATACCTTTGGAGTAGCATCAGTGAACAGTAACAATTTCAGCTTTCCTTTTCCCTTTTCTTGCTTTTTACGTCATTCATTGTCCTCTAGCAGGGAGTCTGTGTCATGTGGAAAGATACAGAAGGTAGAGGACTACAAGAAAAGGGAAAATGTAGGAAGAATGACAATTTATCAACCTGTAAGAATCAACACCTCATTCTTTTACAGGTATAAAACTTTACTTTCTGAAAAATGAGTATAAAAACATGGTAGGGAAAGAGAATGGAGAAAAGACTTGAAACCCAGTTCTTGGTGGTATAGTTAAAAGAACCGGAAACTCTTAATCTGGAGAAAAGTGGTTTTATTCACTCTACTAACAAATATTGTAATATATGTATGTCCTCTGAGGTAAGCACTGTGCAAGGTGCTGGGGATGTGGACGTGCACAGGACAGACATGGCCTCTGTCCCTGTGGAACCTAAAATGGGTGGGATGGTCATCGTCTCTGCCTGCAAATATCTGAAGGGGTGCCAAGGAAGAGAGGCCAGCTTTGTGCGGGTCCAGAAAACAGAGCTGGAATCGTGTGGAAGCCTCAATGGGCAGATTTTCTTCCTGAAGGAGGAAATAGGAAGCCCCCTGTCATACAGGGAAAGGAGGTACAAGCATTTTGAAAGGATATGGAAGAAAGGGCTATCTTAGTCTGCTCGGGCTGCCCTAACAAAATACCATAGACTGGGGGGTACTTAAACAATAGACATTTCTTTCTCACAGTTCTGGAGGCTGTGGAACCCAAAGTGCCATGCCAATTTGGTTTCTGGTGAACTCTCTCTTCTTTACTTGCAGATGGTCACCTTCTCACTGTGTTCTTATATGGCCTTTCCTCAGCGCACGTGCAGACAGAGCATTTTGGTGTCTCTTCTTATAAGGGCACTAATCCCATCAAAAGGCCCCTACCCTCATGAGCTCATCTAACTCTAAATACTACCCAAAGGCCCCATCTCCAAATACCGTCACATTGTGGGGTTAGTGCCTCAAAATATGAATTTGGGGAGGAGGACACCCATTCAGTCCTTAACAGGGGTCTCAGTATGAACAGGGCAGCTGGACCAGCTCACCATAGAGAGCCTTTCCATAACTGTTTCTGTGCTTCTGTGGACGTTGAGGACCACGTGGATTCTGTGCTGTGGGGCAGGTATGACTCAGCCAGTTGAGCTTGAACAAAGTGAGGAGCTGGGAACAAGACAGAACTGAGCGGCTCACCCATCACCCCTCTCTGATCTGGGAGTAGAGATGCAAAGATGAGCAAAACCACTCTTTGGTTATACAACTCTGGGCAAGTCACTTGCCCTCTTCCTCATTTGAAAAAGAGAGTGTGATGTGCCATTCACTCATAAAATTATTATGAAATGGGGAAATGGTAAAGCTCAGCAAGGAGCCTGACACATGATTAGCACTCAGTGGCTATGAAATGCCATTTATGATGACAAGTAATAATTATAACAAGTGCCTGCCATGGGGTTTCAACCAGGGTGGGGAACATGGAACACAGATGAGGAGAATACAGGGTAAGAAGAACGGTGCTCTGTGTTATCATTATAGAGGTCTCTACCCCAGAGGGTATTTAATGCTCACAAGGGCCCCTCTTGGAGTTGGAGTCAGGGAAGGCTTCTTGATGGAAGGGACATTTTGAGCTGAAACATGAAAGAAGTCTAGGGCTTTGGGAAGTCACAGCTTATTGTGAGCTAAAGAATGAAAGAAGAAGAAAAACAGACAGGCTGTTGGGCTAATTAGAGAAAGAAATTACCTCAGGTTACCACATAAATATATTCACTCATTCACCCACTCCATCACTCGCCACCTCCCACAGCTTCACCTTGGACCCTGTTGACAACCGCGATGGCTCCAGCTCAAAGACCACAACTCAGACAACCCACCATCGATCACAGCCTCCCCTCTTCCACCATGCGTGCTGCACAGTCCCTTCCAGCTGTTCGTCACATTGGCGTCTCCAGCCACTGACCCTCTATTTCCTTCCAGGCCACCAGCCTCCTTCCACCTCATGTCCTTCTTTGTACCCCCACCTCCCAGCCCTGGCAACCACTTTTTCACTCTCTGTTTCTATGAGTTGACTTCTTTTGTTTTTGTTTCAGTTTGGTTTGGTTTGGTTTCAGATTCCAAACTGAAGTGATACCATGCAGTATTTGTCTTTCTCTGACTTATTTCACGTAGTATAATGTCCTCAGGGTCCATCCATGTTGTCACAAATGGCAGAATCTCCTTCTTTTTCACCACCAAATAATATTCCTTGTATATATGCCACATCTTTTTGTCCATTCATCCGTTGGCGGATACTTATGGTATTTCCATATCTTGGCTATTTTGAATAATGCTGTAATAACGTGGGGGTTTAAGATCCTGTTTTCATTTCCTTTGGATAAACACCCAGAAGTGGAATTACTGTATTATATGGTAGTTCTAGTTTAATTTTGTAAGGATCTCCATACTGTTTTCCATAGGGGCTGCACCAACTTACATTCCCACCAACAGTGCACAAGGGTTCCCTTGTCTCCACATCCTCACCAACACGTTACCTTCTGTCTTTTTTTATGATAGCCATTCTAACAGGTGTGAGTCATGTCTTCTTTATTACCGTTCAGAGTTGAGGTCCAATATTTCAATCAGTCTTGCCAATGCCATGAATTCTCTTGGCCCTCTATCTTTAGCTCTCACTGGTAGAGCAAACCCCTCCCTATCTGCTTCCTCCAGGCCTGTGCCCAGCAGCCAAACACTGCTGAGACCAGCATTCCACAGTGCAGGGGGCTTCCCTGTAACTCTGGGCCCCCCAACCACTTTCCAACGGCCACATCACACCTTCACCATGCTCCCCAAACCCGCTTCCTCTGCCCTCATTCTCAGCAGTGACTCTACCTTCTACTTGACAGAGAAAGAAAACACGATTCTTATCTTTCCTCCCACACACACACCCCTACACCCATCCTCTTGTTTTTCCCTTCTGTTCAAACATGGGAGCTGATATTTTCATTAAAGGCCAATTCTCCACCTGATTTTTGGCACCCTCCCATCTCCCTTTCTCAGGAACTGTGAATTTCTTATTATTCCTTCTTTCTCTTGGATTTTCCACCTCTACTTTTCCATCAGATCCTTCCTGTTAGCCTTCAAAGATGGTCAAATCATCTTGTTAGACAAAAACAAAAGCCAATGCCCCCAGCCCCTCCAGCAACCAATCCAGCAACCACTGTCTGCCTTTCTTACCTTCACTGCCACCCTCAAAGGGGCCGTCTGCACTCTGCCCCTGCAGCCTCACCTCCCACTCACCTTTTCTGACAGCTTTAGTGATGTATAACTGACATACAATAAACTGCACATATTGAAAGTGTATAATTTGGTAAGTTTCTTCATACGTATACATCCATGAAACCATCACCATGATGACAGAATGAACCTCTCCAGCAACTTTTCAAGTCTCTTTGTGACCCTTTAAAAGCTTCATGCTCGGGCCAGCCGAGTGGCACATTGGTTGGGAGCTGGCTTGGGATGCCAGAGGGCCCCGGTTCGGATCCCACATATGAGGGCCAGTGACACTGCCCTCTACAGCTAAGATGCTGAACAACAGCTCAACCTGGAGTTGGGCTGCCGTGAGTCGCCGCGACGGTGTCGGCTGCAGCCTCTGCTACAGTGGGCTGCCATGGGCTACCGTGTGTCCGTATGTAGCCAGCAGCCAGCGTGAGTGGCCAGCAGCCGCAGTGAGCGGCCCGTCCAGAAGCCTGCGACTGATCTGCCTTGCCAGGGAAGAGCACAATGATGGTGCCAACTTGGGCCAGTGAAGCAACATCCTCCACAACTAGACTGAAGAACAAAAGGACAGCAACTTGTC